ACCCTTAGCAGGATGCAGCGCACCCTTCATGCGACTCGCCGAATATCTCACGGCGCTTCGCGCTTGGTGATGTGAGAGCCTGGTCCGTGGAGAACCCGGCGTGCTCCGTCCCGTCTTTGTAGGAATGCGAGGTCAATGGTCTAACGACTACGGCATGCACGACTATGAGTGTGAGTACCCCCCCCCCGCGCGCCCCAGTGCCGCCGCGGGCTGCGCTTTACCCACCAGCCACTGCTGCTGAACTGCTGTGTTGTTTCTTCGCCGGAAATAAGAAAGTACTATTATAAGAGAATCAGCAGGGTGCGACAGCCCAAAGGAACAAGAAATCTGTATTGAGAAATTGGGCCGACGTCGGCTGGTCCTTCTGCCCAAAACAAGAAATTGAGGCTCGACCCGATTTTGACGTTTGCTATCTCCGGGCCCGTTCTGTATCCGCAAACCGGTGCGAGGACTCATCTATGGACGTTGGCGGAGATGACCGTGGACTGAGTCTCTTGATGGGCGTCCACCAACAAGTAGTCCCAGGAGGAAACACGCCAAACAGCAACAAATGCAAACAACACCCACCACCCAGGGACATCCGACTCTCGGCTTCGACGTTACCAGGAACAGGAATGTCACCTGGCTCGAGTAGTAGTGCGTCAGTCACGTTAGGAGAAGATGCTGAGGCAGCCATCGTCAGCAATCTCCAAAAGTACAGGGGGGAGGACCCGGCCGAGTGCTCAAGCGCTGTAAATGAGAGGGTTGAGCGCAAGAAAGCGCGACAAAGAACGGGCAGAGAAAGGGGTGCGACACAGGCGTTCACATAGGAGCAGTCCGGTTTCATGCTCTTCACGACTGAGACGCAGTCATCACGTCCGCGCGAACATTCCTTCCAAGTTTTGAGTCGAAGGGCTAGGGTGAGAAACGACTTTGGTAAATTATTTGCGGCGCAACAACGCGACATACCACGCTACACTTACATTCGTCTGATACGACATGTATGTACCATTCGTCTAGATGTCCAGTAGAGTCTATCGTCGGCCCCAATCAATTTACTTGAATGAATGCGGCGGCATTACTTTTCAAAGAAAGACAATCCGGTACTGACGGCAGAGCCTCGCGACAATAGCAATGCCATACACTCACGCACTGGGGCAAGAAAATCACGCCACAGCATACGACAGACCCATGCGATCATTCGAGGCTCGGAAGTTGCGAGTAACTCTTCTTGGGTTCGAAGAGAGAAAAAAGTGTAAGCGTCCCTGTGGACAGACTGCTGCCCTTCACAAACAGGGGCGGATAGGGTAGGGTAGGGACTGGGTGCACTCGACTCGCTAACCCATCAGCCACCCGAGGGCCTTCTGTCCGCTGGCAGGGTCAGACACACGGGAAATGCATTTCTGTGGGCCGAAGCAAAAAATACACAGAGCGGTGAGCCCTAAATAGTCTAATTGCGTGTACACCACGCACGCACGCACGTATTCATCTGCTTTCGTGATCAAATTTGCACATTAGCATTATCCCCACAACACAGGAACAAGACGGTGCTCTTTCACGCACGTTAACCATTACTCCGTCGGGTTCCCTGTTGCAAACTCTCGTCGCAAGGAGCAGCACCAGAATGAGGCGGGAGCTCTCTAGATATAGCGTCTCCGAGGTAAGGAAGGTTGCAGCATGTTTCTCCTCTCGTGCTCTGAAAAGAAAGTGGGACTAATCGCAGGTGAACTCACCCGTCCCGCGGACCAGCGGAAACCACCTCTTCTTCTGTGGTCGGGTGAAGCGTCACTCAACTCCTCGGAGCGCTGATGGTGTGTTGTTGCCAGCGAAAGCCCGGCCCTAACTTTGTCCCTTCTCAAGCTGGATGCCCTCTACGGTGGACTCGAAATCCAGCGACGATGAAATTGATTGAGGGGTGGGAAAGTGCGAGGCATGGAAAACGGAGGGACGGTAGGAGACCGGCCCGGAAAACGCGAAGAACGGCCCGCAACGCTGTGGCCCTCGAAAAAGACAAGGTTGACTAAGAAAGGCCCAAATGGTTGCTTGGTGGGAAGAAATATTTGGAGTATTTATAGCCTTCGTGACTCGTGAAGTTCCTCGTCGCGATGTCGCTTGCCGGTGTTCGTCGGCATTTATTTTTGGATTTTTGGCATGGATCACTTCTTCTCCCTTCTTCCCCTCGCTCCTCGACAAGCTTTTGCTTAGACATGGGTTGTAGTGAAGGGGGGGGTCTTTCTGGCGAGCAGGGCTAGACTCACCCTCAAGGGATGACCGAAACCTTCTTGCTGCTGCGCATATCCGCCGCGAGGCATGCGCGTGGTGGTGTAGTTGGGTCGGC